GTATGGTTGTGCAAATTAAAGTGTCGAGGCACTGGTTTATCTGTGTTACAATTCATTATGTCTCTGAGATGTTCTCGGGTCCATTCTGTTAATAATCTACTGGTTTCTCCTATGTATAATTTTCCACAACACATCCATACAGTGAAATATATGATGCATTTTGATTGATCCTTAATGTTCTTGGGTCATTGTAAGCACACATGTTGCAGCATCTTCTATTACAAAGATAGCTACCTACAGTAATATCTGTTGGTTTTTTGAAGGCTGCTGTGAACTAGGTAGTTTCCAGTATTAGTATCGTGTCAGTAGGAAATCATGAGGGGACTTGGAAAAATATATTTAGTGGTGTCAGATTCCTTTAAAATGTGAAAATTGTTCACAATAATGTCTTTAACATGTTTGTTGTTTGTGTGGTAAGTGAGGATAAGAAGTTGTCTGGTGCAGGAGAGTTTAGAGTTTATTTCCATGACAGATGAAGAGGAGTTGTGATCTTCATTTACAAAAGAATTCTGAGCTTCTTTCTGGATTTGTTGAGGGTAGCCACAATCATGGAAAAATGATTCCAATTTTGTTAAGTGAGCATTGAAATCATCAGGCTCACTACACAATTTCTATAGCCTAATGAAGTGGGATTTTGGTATGTTCTTTTTCATGTGTATGAAATGGTTAGAATTAAAATGTAAATAGTTGGAGCATTTGTGGGTTTATAATGAACACTGGTTGAGATTGTATTGGAAGATATAGAAAGAAGAATATCCAGAAATGGTAGTGAGGAACTGGAAATGTTAAGTGTTTAGGCCAGTGAAGGATGGAAGCTACTTGCATAATGAATAAATATTTCTAGTTCAGACAAGTTGCCTGTGAAGATTCCAACAATGTCATCGATATACCTCTTGTAAAGGAGAGGTAAGGGACCATCATACTATGTAAACACAAGTTCTTTAATATATCCCACAAAAAGGTAAGCAAAATTTGGGCCCTTTTTATATCCCATACCTATAAAACTAACCTGCTCATAGAATTCATTGTTTAAACAGAACCCACTGTACTTTAAAACTAATTCTGCTAAACAGACCAAAATGTGAGTGGGGGGTGTGTGAAGTTCAGCACATTTGTGGGTGTACACACATATATATACATATATAACTTTCTAAATCTCTCATATTGTTTTAAGCATTTTTAAACATTGTTAGACGAGTTTATTTGCTATATTGTAATGCGATCTTCGAGTTAGAACATTTTTGTTTGCAGTTTACTGTTTGACTAGAGATAGCTAATGAAGGGCTTTGCCCGAAACATTGTATCTACAACAGTATATATTATAAAAAATATAAATATCTAGTTAACATCTTGTTGTTTTTGGTGGTTTAACCTACAACATACTTCTTTTTTATCTTCTATACCTCAGTCTTGTTGATTTCATGGAGGACTTAAATACATGCTAGTGTCTCCCAGTTGATGGTCTTATATATAGCTCAGTTTTGCTGATTTCATGCAGATGCTTCCCAGTTGACAGTTTAATCTATAGGTTAGTTTTGCTAACTTCTTGTGGGATTTAAATATATCCTGGTGTTCAAAGTTGATGGTCTCATCTGTAGCTCAGTCTTGGTTATTTCATGGAGAACTTAAATTCATGATAATGTCTAAGTAATGACTCAGCTCATCTCTTCTCTTGCTCATTTTGAATTTTGAAAATTTATCACAAAGATTAGATATAAATTGCAATTAACATTAACTTGATACTGAAACAAAGCAACAGGAAACTTTACACAATATTTATATCCATGTGTGGTCTATGTGTATAATAACTAAACATTACCATTACATGGCTTGTGGAGGAGGGGGGCATTTGATTGCTGTTAGTAGTGATTTTTGTTTTTTTTAAAGTGTGCCTGTTTACTCATAGGTGTTTTTGTCACTGTTAAAATTGATTAGGTAAAGAAATGAAAGTTTACATTTTTTAATGTTTTCAGTTATTCTTTTAATAAAAGCTGATTGTTTGACTTTTTAAGGCAATGTCTTTCAAATAGATGAATGATTATTGTATAATTGGTTACATCTGTAAAGTTATACATTACTGTGTTCTTTTTTAATTGTTTATTCCAGCTTTAGTGAAAGCTGGTTAATCAATTTATGAGTGTTATAAGCTGATGGAATAATATAAGATCTGACTACTAATCATTTTGATTGAATTGGTAAGTGATAATCAGAGAGAATTGTTCTTTAAAGTTTGTGAAAGAATAACTTGATTTCACATTTAAGTTAATTTTACTTCACAATTTTATCAAAGCCCAGGATTGTAATTGCAAAGATTTGATCCCATTACTTCCATTAAAGGGCCTGAAACTTACAAATATGAACTTGTGATGTAAAAAACAATTATGCATAATTCAGATAAGTTGTGAATCACAATGAATAATATACAGTCCCGACAGAGACTTTAGGATGAATGTTTTGTGAGTCTTTAGTAGTCACAGAAATGATTTGTTTAACTACATTTGGAAAAGAAAATATCTGTAATGGCAAAATGTTTTTAAAATTGCTCACTAGTAATAGCAAACGAAAATTGTGTCATGATCTTGAAGTGGTCTTTGTAAAGAAGCTATATTTTTAATGTGCCCTTATTCTTACAATAACATGATGAGAAACAACTAACTTAAGTTTAATCAAAGCAGCCATCAGTGCAATCTAAA